GGGACTCTATTTGGATATCAAGAGACTGGGCTTATTAATTCCAGAATTTGAAGGACAGCATCGTGTCTATTACTGAGGAACTCGTTTCAAAATATATTGGCAACTTTGTGGTCAAGATCAGGAGAAAGTAGAAGGCTGTTCTCTGCTACTCCCTCCCGAGCCTTCCCTTTCAGTTCTGGGTTCCAGCCTAAGAGAATGTCCTCATTTTTCAGAATGTGGGCCCAGAGTGTGACCTCACTGTTCAGGTGTGACCCTTTTCTCTTTCACAGCATAGAGAGTTTATACTTCAGTTTTCATGACTACGATTGCCGTACAACACAATGCTACAACCACCTCTACCATATAATAGTCACTCCACAGTCCAGTTATTACATTAGTGTCCCCTCTCTCCCTCCATTTATAAACAGGCAACAATTTGCTGATTACTTCTGCTATCTTTCAGATTTCTTTTATTCCTGGTTTCCAGACACTAGCTGTAGTAACTTGGTTAGAAATCGATTTTTCTAGTGTGAAAGTAAAGATTCAAAGACATTTTGTCACATAAATGAGCGTGTGTTTACACAGAGACACATATTGACACAGTAGAGACAAAGCAAACACACTTTTAGTCTTCTCGGGACAGAAGAGAAGAGAGAGAAGGAACCTAGCCAGAAAAAGAGATTTGAGCTGAAATGTCCTTTGCCTTGAGTGCATACTGTTTTCCCCACGACAGGGTATTTAACATATAAGCTTACATTTTTTTGTGATGTCAAGTCACTGTAACGTTGTTTTTCTCTTTTATCAACCTTACCTCTGCTTGAAAGAATACTGCCAATCATAAAATTAAAACAGAATTGGTGGTGGGAATAATATCATGAACCGAATAAACTTAATGAATTAGGAGCATAGTTTTCACGCTAATACTGATTGTATATTTATGAACGGAAGGGGTATTTCCATTTTTTGAAAGAATGTGCCTATAGAATCCTCACATACCTATAGGGGAAAAACCTCTTTGGTACTCTCTTCACATGATCACTTTCCAAAATATGGCTTTAAGTTAATCTTACCTGGGCCTGCCTTCTTCCCTCTCTCACTGTCCATCTCGTCCCCTTACACTTTACCTCTCATTTGTTTCCCTCATTGCTAAAGTAGGAACACAAGTAACAACACCCGCATTTCAAGAACAATGTGACGATTAAATTAAGCAAAGCAAAAAAAGAAAAAGAAAGTCTGTGAACTGTACAATGATATACAAAGATATTTCTGTTATTTCCATTGTAGGAGTGTTTAGATATTATAAGATACACAAGGGACAAGTCTTATTTGGCAGCTGTCTTGTAACTCCAAATAAATACATTTGCCATGTGTTTATTGAGGGATTTACAGCCTCCAGAGGATTTTCTCTGTGAGAGTGCTGCTTTTGAATTTTCTTCTGTTCTTTTTCTTTTTCACCTTCTGGCTAGTTGAATTCTCCATAGACAAGTAATGTCCTTGGCTGGGTAGCTAAGATACAACTGAAGTTTCCAGAGATTCCTATCGTATGGATTCAGCACTTACGGAAATTCAATTTAAAAATGGAAAGTATCCCTTAACTAGAGAATTATCTCCTTAGTTTCCTCTTTAGAAATGATAGCTGTCTTGAGGTCTGACGTGTATTACTGTCTTTTATTTCTGTATGTTTTTCTATGTTTTAGGTTAATTTTCTCAACCTGAAGAGATTGCAAGCACCCTTAGGGTCATGTTTGTTTCTGGTACATTGGTCTCTACAAGATGTTTTGATTTTGTTTGGTGACAATGAAATAACAGGAATGATAAGGAGGGTCTTAGTTTAAATGTTGTCAGGTGGTACAGTTGAGAATTTACTGATAGAAATGATATTTGTAACACAGAAAGATCTATTTTAGAAAAATAATCCATTGTAGAAAGGCACTTTTAAACAGTACTCTGCAAATAAGACTGAAAACCGCTCAAGAACACACACACACAAAAACCCCAAAACAAAACTTTCTTAGAACAAAGTTTTCTTTTTTATTGTTTTTATTCTATTTCATATGGTCTTAGATAGCATTTATCACATTTAAATGATGTGCTTTCTGTAAAACTATTAACAATATATGCACAGACTGATGGCATGAAGTGTACATGGATATTTGAAGTAGGGAAATGCAGTAGTTATTTACTTTAAACAAATGGCAGAGAATTTTATAGTACTTGCTATAAAGTAACAACTCATATCCAGTCATATCCAGAGATCATATTTAAGTTATTGTCATACCATGAATATCCCTTCCGCTCTTGCATTATTTTATCACAAAACTCTAATAAAAGGTTTTTAAGTTTCATAGCAGTCGATAATGATTATATTTAAGAATAAGAAGTCTTTAAAACTGATACCAATATACATATAAATGTGTAATGAGTAAAAATGAGTGTGAGATATCCAATTTACCATTGTTACATTGGAGGTTTTCAAAATAACCGCTCTTGGAAATTCACATTTAAACTGAAAAGTAACCGATCATGTTGTTCATGCTAGACTAGAACATTTATTGTAGGAATTTAGTTCTGAAATAAAACTGGGCAAGACATGCCTTTCAGAAATTTATAAGAAAATATTTGGACAGCTTTTCTTTAAGAAATGAAAATATCTATTATCAAGTAGTGAGCTTGTTAATGGCAGAAGTGAAATACTGTGCCTAACGAGATCCGTTACTTATAATTGCTCACAATATTTTTACTTTGAGCATACTCACACATAGAGTTATTTTTCCCCTAGTCAAGTTTTGATTTGAAAAGAAATTTACATCTTACAATGTGAAAAAAAATGTACATATAAGTTCCATCAGACAAAATCTCAACACTTGTATTTTATTGTATTTTCTTGATAATAAGTATATTAAGCTACAATTTTTCATGTATTCTTTTACCATTCTTTATACATCAATGTTTTTCTGACTTTTGTGTAAAATATTATATAGGGTCATACATACATGGAATGTACACTATACGCAATGTGCTTTTAAGGAACTGGGTACCGTTAGAAAGATAGCTATTTTCAATAACCGTCAGTGATGGCTAACTATTGTGCATTTAGAAGAGCATAGCAAAAGAGGAAGTGGCGACAGGAAATATAGACAAATCTTTGAGGAGTTCTGTTGTAACACTCATAAGCTACTGAGTAATAATAAAAAAGTTAATAAATGTAAAATTAATTTAAGCTAATTTATGGAATAAGATCACGTGGAGATGGAATAAAATTAAATCAAGTGTAGAGTTAGACTTTCAACAAATGATGCTGGAAAAATTGGACATCCATATAGGAAAAGTGAACCTTAATCCATACGACATACCAAATTAAAAGTTACTGTAAAATACCAGGTACAATGTAAAACTTTAACACTATAAACATTATAGAAGAAAAATATGAGAAAATCTTTGTGTGCTTGTCTAAGATAAAGATGTATTAGATACTACACCAAAGCATGATCCATAAAAGAAAAAAAAAAGAAATTAGTCTTCACAAAGGTAAAAAGCTACTCATAAAAAGATATTGTTAGTAAAAAGACATAAACCCTAGATTAGGAGACAATATTTGCACAACTCATATCTGATAAGGGGCTTCTATGCAGAATATATAGATAACTCTCAAGCAATAATAAAAAAATCCGCAACACAAATAAGAAAGGATTTGAACAGACATTTCACCAAAACAATACACAAATGGTTAATAAGCACATGAAAAAATGCTCAACACAGTTAGCCATTAGGGAAGCACAGATGAAAAATCCAATGAGCTATCTCTACATAACAATTAGAAAAAATAAAATAAAATTATCTAAAATGCACAGAGCAAGTGGACCTTTCACACACTAATGATGCAAATAAAAAATTGTGTGGCCATCTTAGAAAACAGTTTGGCAGTTTTTGTTTTTAATAAAGGTAAGCATATATTCACTGTAAATCCCAGCCATCCCACTCCTGGATACTTAAACAACAGAAATGAAAAGTTATGATCATCTAAAAACCTGTGGATGAGTATTTATGGCAGTTTTATTCATAATCACCCCAAATTGGAAACAACTCAAGTTCATTCCATTGGTGAATGAATAAACTGTAATTTATTCATACAATAGCATACAACTCTGCAGAAAATAAAATAAAATAAAATAAAATAAAATAAAATAAAATAAAATAAACTGATACTCAACAACGTGAATGAATCTTGAATTATGATAGCTGAAAGTAGCCAGACTCATAAGGCCATGTAGTATATGATTCCGTTTATATGACATTTCTAGAATAGGCAAAAATATGTGAATAGAAAACAAATCAGTGGTTGACAAGGGCTGTGAGGGGCAAGTGTTGAATATAAACGGGTACAAGGGAATTTTGGGAGATGATGGAAATGTTCTATAGTTACATTGTGGAGGTGATTACCTGACTATATGCATTGGTCACAACTCATAGAACTGTATGTTTCAAAGAGGGAATTTCACTGAATGTAAATTATACCTTAATAAACCTTCCTCCCTCTCCTCCAGAAGAAAACCTACTCGATAACCACTGGTGGATCCAGAGATATAGCGAGTTACTTTGATAACTGGTGAACCATATCATTTGGAAACAAAATGGTTGTTGATAGGAAAGTTTCTCGTCATAGATGTACTCCAGCTAATAAATATCAAAATGAATGATGGAATTAGAATGATACCATTTTACAGATGTTAGCAGATCTAATCATCAGTGGCTTCTAACATTATATAAGAAGAGATACAAATAAAATTAAGCTTTTGTATGCAACTGCTCAATTTATGGGAAATACTGAGGAGAGAAAAACATGTTAAACTACATCTTGCAGGCGTAATAAGCAAAATCCAGACTGTAGAGTCCCTACAGTTTTTCAAAAGTAAATTGTAAGGAAAAAAAAAAGGATAAAAGGGAAACTGTAGATTAAAGGAGACATAGAGACATAAAGGACAGATTAACAACCTTATCTGGATCCTGATGCAGACACACAAATTGTAAAGAAAAAGAACACTTAAGAGACAATGGGAAATTTGATCACTGACTAAATATTTGCTGACAATAAGATACTATGGCCAATTTTTAAAGTGATAATGATATCATAGTTTTTTTTTTAAGTTTTATCATTTGGAGATAAACATTGGATTACCTGCAGATGAAATTATTGGATTGTTTTTCTGGATTTGCTTCAAAACAATTAGGAATTGGGGGAAATAGGTCCAGGATACAGAATAAATAAGATTGGCTGTGAGAATATATAGTGTGTGGCTGAGTGACAATGATTACAAGAGTTCCTTTATATAATCCTATCTCCCCTTGTATATGTTAAAAAATTTTCTGTAATAAAACATAAAAAAAGAAAAGAAAAAAAAAAGAAAAGAAGAAATGCAGGAAGAGGAGAGAGGAG